TCAGCATGTGTAAAAACAGCAGCAATATTTTTGTTTCTGTGAAGCAAACTTCACAGATTAAGTGAAATCATGGCAATATATAGGATAATCTAAGCATATATGATGTCACATGGTAAAATAATTGCTAAAAGCCTTAATTAAGATGAGAACAGACAGTGTTAATGAGAAATAAAGGCTGATCCATGCTTTAGTTGTCACAGTCAGCCTGATTCAAGCACTTTCAGGGCCATTGAGCTGAAAACATTTTTAGAGCATAATACAATGGAGAGGCCATTATATCAGACTGAACATTTTGCAGAACAGCACTATTAAGAGGTTTGTGATAACTAGATGGCAGACTGGATTAACGTAGTAGACTCACATCCAAATTTCTCCTAGGCCAGGAATAAAAATGAGTGTGGATTGTGGGTATGCATAACAGTGGCTGTCACTCTCCCATGAACAATCTTTTTACTCACTTAGAGTCAGGAAAAAATCCAGGAAGGCAGTAGAAGAGAGTTTCTCAAGTCATATCTAAAATCCTGAGAGAGGATTTAGTTTAATTAGATCAGTGTTTTCCTTTCTTAAGTGACATTTCCCTTCCTGTTTATATTTTCCATTGGATTTTGTTTTGCTGTCTGTAAGGTGAATTTGCTGAGAATGTATCTGTGTTTCAGAAGTTTATTTGACTGTCTGCCAGCAGTGCTGAAGAGGCATGCACCCATGCTTGTGCTGGCTTTAGAGATTACCTCGAGTAGCAGCACTTGGGATTAAGACACTGCTTTTATTAACAGTTAATGTGTAAAACCGAGAACAATTCAACACTGGACATTTTAGTGTCATGCAGATAAAGTAAGGATTTGTCTGTGTGTGTGTAGAGACTAATCTCTTATCAACTCTCTTATCAACACGTAGTCTTTCCCTTCATTTGGGAACCATGGACCTGTAGTCCCATCAGTTCTAGAAGCTGAGACACACCAAGAACTGCAAAAATCAAGGCAGGCTGGGAGCAGCTCCTTGTGTTCCAAACCAGAGCGAGGCAGATGTGCACACAATGGAGAGAGAGGGGTGGTCACAGGTTCTGAAAATAGTTCTGTAAATACCTTCTGGTTAGGACTTGTGTGGAAGATCCATTGTCTGATACTTTGCCCAGGCTGTGCATTGCACTGAGGTAAAACTGCTGTGTATTGTAAATGCAGGCGAACCCAATGGGAAGAAATGAGGATGTCTGACTCAATTCAGAAGGCTAAATGATTTCTTTATTATAACCATGCTAAAATACATTAATATACTATATAAAAGGAGGATACTAAAACTAAATACTACTTTCTCTGACTCTATCTCTAACACAACTCGTGACCCTCTCTGGAGTCCAGCCCCAGGTGGGTTGGATTGGCCATGGGGCTCAAACAATCCTCACCAGAATCCAACCAAGAAATCACTCCAGGTAAACAATTCTCCAAACACATTCCACATAGGAAAAACAAGGAGCAGAAATAGAAATTGTTTTCTCTTTCATTTCTCTTTGTGCACCTCTATGAAAAATCCTGAGAGGGAGAGAAATGTGCTTGCCACAGCTGTGGGCATCATTCTGCCCACAGAATGACTTAGGAGAGGCCTCCAATAGTTCCATGGGTGTTCTCCCTCTCTGTCCTGTTTCTGCACTGCATTAGTCAGCTCAAGGAAGGGGCACCATGAGAAGCACAGGGCAGCTCTTGGAGCCAGCACCCATCCGCTGAGTTGGGGCTGATGGTGATAAAAACTTCAAACACGTGAATGAACAGCAGAATCCCATGCAATTTTTCCATGATAATTACTCAATCTTATCCAAGTTGCATACTATTTTAAAGTCTCATTTTAGATTTTAACTATATTGTGTTTAGTTTTTTTTTAATTTGAATGAGTAGTTTTCCACCCCTTTCTGCAAATCAAGCAAGTTTGGCCTCGATGGTGGGGCTGGAGCACACTGCTCACCTCTTCCTTGGGTCACCCCTTGTCCTGGGGCTGAGCAGCAAGGCAGGCACTGAGAGGCTTAAATCCCCCTTTAACATTGGGAAAACTTTCCCATGCTGTTATTCACACTCTGCACCCCTTATGGCAAAAGCATGTGTGCATTAGGTGGCTGCTAAGCATTAAGTAAAATATTGCAAAGCTTGCTTCCTCAGGGGGCATGAGCGAGGAGAAATGATAGCTTAAACATCTCGCTGCTCCTGTGGCAGCAGTGTGAACTCAGCAGAGCAGATCTTCACTACCAGCAGTGCACTTCTTACAGGAGAATACTGGACGTGGTTTATGTGTTCCTAGTTGATTTTGAAGTTTAGACTACATCCTGCTCAAGAGAATATTGAGCAAAGTCATTTTAGTAGTATTTTTCTTTCATACTTATATGTATTTGTATAGAAACTAAGATTAGTACTAGAAAGATACTTAGCATAATTTTGTATTTTTAGTGTGACTTATGTGCCATATCATTAAAGATTCAGTATTGCCTCAAGAGTCTACTTGCAAAAAAGTAAACTTTATCAATGGTGATTCATTAATTATTTGTGTATGTAGATTGATACAGAAAGCATTTGGACAAATACTGTATCTGCTGAAACATTAGAATTTCCATTGATTAAAATTATTTGCAAACTAACATAGTTTTAGGTTAGATTTCTTTTTTTAGCAAGGTAAAATATTACTTTGCTGCATTCTTATTTCACTAATTTTTTCAGGCTGAAAAGGTTTTGTTTAGGAATTTTTTTTTTTTTTGTTATTTAATTTTTAGGGATTTTGAAAAATACTGAAATGAGAAATTTTGTTGTGCCTGAGCTCCTGTTCTTGACTGAAAAATAATGGTCTTTCACTTCACTGTTATATTTTCTAAAAGAATGATTTTCAGACACAGGAGATTTCTGTGGTGCTCTCCAGCTAAACATGCAACTGAAATAGTTTTTAGACAACTCTGATTAATATAATAGTTGGAATAATTACTACAGTAACTAAGATATTGTGGAATTACACACAAATACCAGGATCACTTTTGTTTCTAATGATTTTGATCTTCAATTTGTCCCAATACTTTTCAGCAGCGCACGGTTTCTCTCTTCCCATGAAGGCAGATATTCAGTATCTGCAAGTAAACACTGAAAAATCACTTGCTTGATTACACTTGTGGGCCATTAAATATCTGCTTTCATCTCTATAATTCCTCTCTTCTCAGAGCCTGGGCAGTGGGACTCAATCAGCCATGTGTTATCTTTCCCAGATCCCTTTCGGAGCATAGCGCAGTGCACAGGAATGCAGTTTGTCAAACACATTGTGTCTGAAATCCTTTGTTGGGAGAAGTGGAGAGAAAGAGATTATAAAATGCCTCAAACCCTTCAATAAGGCCTTTCCCAGGTTTCTTGTATCAGTTCAGCCCAACAAAGCCTTCATACCTCGCTTTGATGTGTAGGATGGTATATTAGAGCACGTCGTGTGTGTTGTATCTCAGGGCAGCATCTGTTGTCCAGGCTGCAGTTTACAAAGAATAACTTTACTTAGTTATAGTAACTTACTATTTTTTGGCAAGTTTTTAGTCTCAAGGACAACACAGAGGGGAATTCAGAGGAAACAAATACGTCTGCTGTCTGTAATACTGGTTTTCATAGGTGGTGAGATTTAAGAACCTGGTGTGTTTTGTAGGAGAGGTGAACAAAAAATACCCAATCAGACTGGTGGTGTGTGTTTTTCATTACTCTGCTAATACAAACCTCTCAGAGGTAAAGCTGAACAGTGTGAATAACTTCTTGAAGCTGTTAACTTCTGTCACCCTGAGGCAGTCTCTGACTGACTTCTCTGGAGCATTTCCTCTTCAAAATTCTACGCACAAAAAAAAATTTACTTGTAATACAATGGCACTGTATTAGGTTGAACACTTTGCACTGGAGTAGTTTTGAGAAATTAGCCTAGTATAGGTGGGAGCAGACACATTGCAAAGTGCCAAATGAGTTGCAGAGTCTACCCTGATGTTGCTTACAGCAGTGTTTTAGGCAACACACACAGTTTTCAGCATAGCAAGCTGAGTTACAATGTGAATTCTCTGCCAGTGTATTCTGAGAGAATTTGCCTCTCCTTTACAGGTCAGATATCCAAGGGGAAGTCTGGGAAGGCTTTGTAATGCAAAACTAGCTAGCCTTCGTTCACACAAGGAATGTTAGATGCTGACCCATAAGAACTGAGTTCAAGATTTCTGTGAATATGTGGGATTTGAATTAACACGGTAATGAAAGGCTCTAAGAGTATAAGGTGCATTCAGTATCTAAATCACTGACATGGTTTAGAAAGCTAAATTTGTCGCTGTGATGATTAAAAGAAAGCTGGTTGATACTATTCCTTGGCATAAACATTAGCAGGAATCCACCCATGGCACTTGGATGCTTGTTGAACAGCTGGTGTGTTTTGTTTAATAGAGTGGAAGACAAAAGTGGTAGTAGGTTTGTTGGAGATGTGCTGTGTTTATGGTGGATGACAGAGAATTGAGATGTAAAACAAAATAGCAAAGAAACTGATCCAAGCAAAAATGCTTGGTTATAATACTTGGCAGATTTTGTGTGTTAGAAAATACAAAGCACATTAACAGGCATATAAAAATGCACCAGACAGTAACAGCCATTGAATTTATACAAGGAAAAAAATAACAGTGAGATCATTTATTGAGCTCTGTGGGACAGACAACTTCCTGGGCTATCCTTTAAATCCCTGGTATTTTCATGAAAGATTAGGATATAGACACAGAATAGAGAAATCCCAAGTTTCTACATGAAACAGAGACACACAGTAGTGCTCACATTTGCCCCAGAGCGTGTTTGTCTTTTATTACACTGTTTTGTTGACTATATATCTCCTTTCAGCTCTTTTTTTTTTTGTCTTGTGGAACACAGTCTAGATGAAAAATAAAAGTTACAGATAAAATTATTGGAGGACTGGATATGAATCATTATTTTGTAATTTTATTTTCATACTAATATTTTCTATTTTTCTTTCCTTTTCCACAGAGGGTATGAACTGTATGAACAAAGATCATGGGTGTGCACACATCTGCCGGGAGACACCCAAAGGTGGGGTTGCCTGTGAATGTAGACCTGGCTTTGAACTTGCCAAAAACCAGAAGGACTGCAAATGTAGGTAGATGAAGATTAAATTTCAAATGCCCCAAAATGTCTTGTTTTCTTAATTGTTGTTATGTTCCAAAAGAAGTTAACTTTGTTTTGGCCAAAGGTGATTTATAATTATAGTAATGAGGGTTTTTTTGCTGTAGAAGATGCATTTGGGGATGGATAAGAGGGATTGAAAAACAGACTGTTGGCAGTGTCTCAGTTACCAAAATGATAACTTTTCTGCTTCTTATGAATGCAGAAAAGTGAAGGATCACTTTAATCCAGGCTTTCCTTGTAAAGCAATACAAATATAAAGCATAATGGATTCTGGCTTGCAATATTTTGAAGGTCCTCAAAGGTGAATGCATCAATGAATTTAATGATAAACCCACTAAAGCTATTAAATTAAGAGTGTCAGTTCCAATTCTTTTAAAAGACAGAAATGATTACTCTACTCTTGATTCCCCTGCTCACAGTCTAGAATTATTACTTGGAAAACATGCAGCTGCATCATATATACTGTTCTTCAGAGAAAAGCCCAAAATGATGTGATCTTGAAGCTGGGATGCTAAAGATGCAGATACTCATTAGCCCTCAAAATTAGAAATCAATTCTGTACACGTTCAAATAATTGACCTCAGCATTGTCATCTGAAAGCTTCAGAACTGAGTCTTTCTGATGGCTTCAGTGAGTCTTAGCTCTGAGTCCAACAGCTTGCATTCCTACGTGGTAGCTTTGAGAGAGACAAAAAAAGTGCAGTAAAACAATATAAAATGTTTGCTGCTTTGCACAGGGTCAGTATTTTTCAGACAGCCTCTTCCTGAGACCCCACTACGTAAACACACATAGATGATATTAGTTCCCAAGTACAAAGTCAAAATAATCAATTTGAATGACATAAAGAAATGCCACAGAGATTTACAGCCTGATTTCTTCTCAATATTAAAAAGCTACACAGGGCCAAAGGCAAAGCACAGAGAAAAATGCCTTTTAGTCATTTTGATTGTCAATGTTTATTAGAAGTGAATATTGCGTGCTGTTAATTGGAGTGCAATGTCAGCTACATTGGTGAAGTGTGGGAGGATGTTTACTTATGTTGTTATTATTTGTTTCCTCAAATTCTTATATTCTTTGGGAGTTTCAGTAATAGATAGTGGCAGGAGAATTAGAGCCTTTTCTGAAACATTATTTCTAAATGTCTCAGGATTTAATAGAGTAAAAACTTCAATTTATTCTGTGCCCTCTGTTGTTCAAGTTGTAGTTGTAAGTATAATGAACTTTTGGTGACAGACTTTTAAGTAGGGACACTGAGTTTTCCAAGAGTGCTGAGTTTACTTTGAAGCACACCAAACTCTAAACCCACAGCACATTCTGCAAGTATGATCCAGAGTTCTTATTTAGAATAATGACTTCTAGTCCTCCAAAATGCACAGAAGTATAGAGGTGTAGCCAGATAGCCTGGGACAGTAATTGTGAGATTACAGCAGGCTGTTCGTAGAAGCCTAATTCTGAAACCAAAGCTCAACTTTGAAAAAAACCCAACTTTTTCCCAGCTAACCATTTCAGTGCAGCTATGTTGAAGAGCTGGATACTTACCACTTGCCAGGCTGAACTGGGTCTGTAGCCCTGTAAAACAGGGACTGGTGGGGTCTGAGACACCCTTGTAAAACCCCATATCCCAGTTATGCTGGTTTAGCACGGTCCTCCAGGAGTCCAGGCTTTTCAGGGTTTGTCAGAGCTTGCTGCTCTGGTGTCTTTATGTGAACAAGTGACAGAGAGTGTAGTGCCTCTCAGTACACCTAGTACCTCTCTGGGTGAATTTTTATCAGCCAGTTTGCAATTCAATCAGACCAGTGGGAGAGGCTTTCAAATATATTGGCCCCAGGCCTTTAGTAACAATTCAAGTCTTCCTCAAAGGAGGATGTTAAAATAAGTTAGAAAGCAGCACTTGGAGGAAGGTTCCACGCTTTTTATGCATCACATGATTGTCATTCCATGCTAGGCACATAATCACATCACATCTCATCATTTACCTTCACATGCTGATAGGGCAGTCACTCCTGTTCCATGTGAGTGATGTTTCAGTGTCCATGATGGTCAGTGCTCATTAAAAACGCTTGTATTCAGTGGCTTCCCCTCCATAATTTAGTGTCATGCCTTTCCTGCTGCACAGTATTTAAACCCTATTGCGAACATAAAATTCTTCATCCCCTTGTGGATTTTCCCACGATACTCATTACTGCAATACCAAAGTGCTTTGTAGATATTTGTAATGTATTTTCAAAATACTCTTCTGAAGTTAAAAAGTATTGCTTTGCCCATCTTACCAAAGGGAAATTAATATACAGATATTCATATCAAAGTCATTTGGTGGTGATAGGTGATTAACAAGAGCCACACAGAACCCAGCTAAGCATTTGCAGCATGTTAATATCCAAGCCACACTCCTGATGGCCCCAGCTGTAGTTGCAAAGGACTATACTATTAGTAACCTGTGATAGAAGAGATTTAAGTGACTTGCCAAGCTCTAAGTAGGAATTCCACAGTGAAGGCAGAATTAGGTTAGGGTTTTTAGGGCTCTTTTCACTGTCTGAACAAGACCATTCTTTCTTGACAGTCCATTTCTGGTGTGCTACTCACTCTGAAGCAGATGAGAAAGATTCCCATCTGTTTCCACAGCCCTGACTTTCCCCAGCTCCACTAGGCACTAAATGAGACAGGAGGATTTTCTGAATTTGTCATTCAGGAGAGTTAATTGTGACACAATAGGTCTATGTATAAGTCTCATATTTTGTAGCTTTTGAGTACTCAAGATTGCAGCCTTAATGGTTTCTTAGGGTAAATTTTAAGTATGCAATTTCTTGTTGCCCAGCATGTTAAGAAAGCACTGAAGTATTGAGGCAGAAAAGGACCTCAAGAGGCCATCTGGAAATACACCAAGCAGAATCACACAGATCCATACCCTTTGGATGAGCTGCATCCTTTAGCTTTGAAGCATCCATAAACTTCAGCTTCTGGGAGTTTGCTGCTACTCCTGTAAACTGCTTTAATGGCCCCTGGTGTACACAAACCCAGAAGATTATGCTTTGTCAGTAATTTTCATAGATGCTGGCAGCAGAAACATACTTCAGAGCAGTCAATCTGGTTCTAGATTATATTAAAAGAAAACATACAAATTTACATCTTCCTTCTACATCTGTATCCATGATAGGTACTAAGATCCTGCTCCTGAGCACGATCGCATTAGAAATTTTTGATAAAATGAAGATTTTTTTTTTCCCCAAATATGAACAAACCAAGACATTTTATGTTCCTCTCTTTCTTAGCTGGAAGCTTAAAATTAAGAGGAAAATCTAAAGCAGATGCACATACCTGCAAGTTGCAACCTGAAAGAGTTACAAACAAGTAAAAGCTGAATCTTTTGATGAAAAATTTTGATGAAATACCTACAGCTGTTTCTATCTGCCTCCTTGGATAATCATGATTTATGTGAGCAGGAGGGCTAGTGCAAAGTGATTCTGAAAATCCTGTCTAGTACTTTTACAATAAAATGCCAACTTCCCTATGCCAAGTGGCACCTTTTCAGCTCCTGCTGACAATGTCCTCATGCAACTGTTTGCTATCAGTACATTCAGATGCCCAGAATGTTAAAAATGTCAAGTCATACTAGGATAAATCATGTAAGCAATGTTGCATGCACAGCTTTATCACACAGAGGTGCCCATATATTTATGTAAATTATGTATTTAATGGCCAGTTTAGAAACAGTGCAGTTTTCAAGTTATCTGGAATGACAATATGCTCATTTGAGAAGTCCATTCTACAAAAAATAAATATCTGTCTGTGGCCATGGTATATATTTCAGTCCACATGTGAACAGGATCAGAACACTGCTGTCCTGGGCAATTTTTTACATTGCCAAGTAATAAATGCTAGATTAAATAATTGGCCATATGTTTTCAAGCTCTTCTTGTCATGGCCATGTAAGATGGATTCTGTGAAACTTAAGAGAAGCACTAAAAACAGAATTTAGGCTGTAGAGTGAGGCTGAATTCTGGTACTTTCTATCTTCTGGGGAGTTTAGCATGGAATATCAATATCAGTACTTAGTGGTACATTAGAATCCTTCTTGTTCTTTGAGACGTCATTTCTCTTTCAGACAGTTGTTTCTCATTTTTCATGATCAAAATGTCATTTCTAGACTAGCCCACATACTTCTCTGGCTGTAAGCACTGGCCCACATGCCAAGCTGTGTCTCAGCCCAGTCAAATGGAATAGATGCTGCTGGTTCCAGTGTGGGCAGGGGGACAGGTAGGGCCATTGTGCTGCCTGCCAGGGGCTCCCAGGTGTCTGGCCAGCCCAGGACCATGAGCATTGTAGTCAGGGAAAAGAATTAATCTGGTTTGAAGACACTTGGAAGCCCCAAGTATCACCCCTAAAGCTCTTTATCCACGTGGAAGCATTGGGAGAACAGACTGGTGGTTTGGCTGCCAGCACTGGATGTGCCCCACACAGGGTGTGTGACGTTTCTAGGGCTTCTCTGCTCTTGTACAGGGCGTTCCTCCCTCTAAGAGAAAGAGCCCAGCATTCTGACTGCACTTAAGACACATACAAATGCTGAAGCACTGTCAAAAGATGGTGTTACTCTGGTTTTAAATCTGCCACGTGGGGATAAGTATGTCTGAGTTCTAAAAGATATGTGAATATTCTCCTTTGGTTAAAAAAAAAACCAAACAAACAAAACAAACAAACAAACAAAAAAACCAAAAAAAAACCCTCATTATTTTCCATCCCTTTCGTTTTAACATGAATTATGATATTTTAAGGTGATCTGTGTCTGTTGGAATTTACCATTTTGCCTCTGTGCCTCTTCAGTGTCACAGACTCTGAATGAGCACACAGCTGTTTGCATAACTGCAGAGTCCAAATTTATAAGAAATAGTTTTTAAAATAACACTTCGTGAATTCTCATTAATATTGCTTTAATTCTTTCTGACAAAAATGGAGTAGATCTGGATGTCCATTTGCTTTTAAATAATTATGATTTTCTTCCTCTAAGCAAGAGAAACTTCCCACTGTGTCACAGCCACAGATTGAGGACTGGAAGAAAATTGAAGTGACATATTTTACAACTGGATTTTGTAGCAATTTCACCTGTAGAGCTGTCAAACTTTAAAATGGTGACTCAAGTTACTTCAAATAAATAAATAAATTGTAGTCTAGACAGAAATTCAAATCCTTCAAAAACATGATTTACTAATGTTTCTAGGAGACAGGAAAAGGAACTGACCTACGTGTGCATTCATGGACTGGGTAGAATGGGAACCAGTAACTTTAATATGCAGGGAAGCTGTAAAAGTGTGTGATTCTGCAGGATTTCCTATAAATGCCATCAGTCTGGTGCAATTTTTTCATAGACAAATATAGTAAGGAAAAGTTCCTCATATTACGTGGGTCAGAGCAAGCGTGTTCAGATATTTTCATCTCTGCCAGCAGAGGCTTTCAGCAAGGAATGCCAAAAATAACCACTGCAGTCACATTTTTTAAATACACACTTTGTTGCTGATTGCACTTTAAAATCCTCAATAAAAATACTGTTGGCTAGAAATGTATTTAAACATCTGGCATAAACAACACCTTTAAGTTTATTTGTGATGGCACTGCAGTCCAACAAGTCTAGAAACTCCACATAGTCCTAGAGGCATATGGGGTCAAGTAATAAGTATATCTTCACTGGAAAGGTGGGAACTTTAAGAATAGAGACTTGATATCGAGTTTGGTTTGTTATGCATGAAAAATAAAAACCAAGATGTTACTGTGTATTGAAGGGAAATGAATGTTGCTTCCTTTAGATGCAAAGCAGACTGATTTGCTTCTGCTGTTTTTTCACAAAAATAAATTTTTTGGTAAGCTGTAAAAGTGGAGAAGGAGAAAGAGAAAGAATGCCCAAAGGTGGCTGTTGCTTAAGGCGTTTTGTAATGTTATTCCTTGCAAGTTTAGGATTCTTATGATTTGGGGTATATTCCCCCCTCTGTCTGGTTGGACTGAATCCCCCGTTTCCATTTTCCAGTCTAGTGCACAAACTGTCAAGCTCCAAAAAGGGACCCTGAATCAGGCAGGTCTCCCCAGCTTTCTCACTGCCATTCTTTCCAGTTGGATGGAGCAGTGATATTCCTGGAAAGTGGGGCAGGAATACAGGCAGTCTCTCTTTTCAGGGATTATTCTTGCCACCAGGCACCAGGGCTATTCCATCTCTATCTCTGAGCAGCACAAAGGTTTTTATTCCAAGTGTAGAGAGGGTAGGACCAAGGATGCTTGCACCTGTAGTGGCCTCTGATCTGTACTCTCCTGAGAGGTGGACAATTCCTACTGTGATCTTTGCCAGAATTCAGGAGCTGAAATTGTAAACTTGTGGTTCCCATTCTGGCAGGAGGTTTTAATGGGAATTCTGTTGGGTATGCTGTGGTGGGTCTCCCTCAGTCGCTTTTTTTAGAACTGTTCCATTTTAAGCTAAATACTTCAGTGATTACTGAGAGTGACATGGCTGCTCAGCACTGGGGCACTCACACCAGAGGTGGGATATTTCATTTCTAGTTACTGTGATGGAAAATTCCAGTCTACTCCATTTTCAGGAGCTAGAATTAAAGCAGGGTCACTGAGTTCAGTGGGAAAATACATGAACGTAGCCCTCTTGCATTAGATACAACCTCAGATTTTAGTTAGATACATGATTTTCAAATCCTGTTAATCATTGTCTTGGTTTTATTGTATATTGCAACTTCCTACCTTGCCTCTTTTATAAATTTTTATCTAGAAGGAAAATTCTGCTTAGACCAATGTGAGGGAGTTTCTTCTGATTACTGGGAGTCAGTATTTAAATAAATGTAGTCTGCATTTAAATTACCATAACATTTCAAAACATTTAAGTCCTCTGGAATTATGAATATATAACTAAATAATGGCAAATTGGATTTCCCCCATATTTGCCAGTATATATATACCAGTAAAGAACCTAGTCCAAATAAAGACAGTAAATTGAATTCAGAAATCAGTCAGATAACTGCTGTTCTGCAGCAAGGTGTGCAACTGCAAAGGATGAAATGACATAAGGGCAAGTGAGAGGCTTTATTAAATGGTTCTAGCCTGCTTAGTAGTTTAAATCTGATTTGTCTTAGCTGGCAGAAATAAAACCCATCATGTGAAAAAGGAAATTAATTTAATCTGATCTATTAATTTGTGTATCTTTCAAAACTCCACCTATTCTCATGAAAAATGTTTCCTTTAATGTATGCTTAGTACTTTTTCACCAGAGGACATTTGAATTGCTAAAAGCTGTTCTTTTTTCCTGGAAGTGAATGTGGCATCTCCAGTGCTTCCTTCCTGGCTGAGGCCGGCACAGGGCAGAGCCATAACATCTGTGGGGTTTTTGTTGCAGAGAAGAAAAAAAAACCCACCAAACATTTCCTGTTTTACTTTTAAACTTGTTGCTTTAGCGGGAGCAGCACTTAATATAGTAGATTTCAAGACTTTTGTGGTTCTGTTCTTGCTGCTTGGTCTCTGCTTCCTCTACTGAGAGAATGAAGGGGCAGCCAAGGAGAAATGCTGTCTGTAGACCTGAAACTATATATTTGTATTGGTAGACTGTTAATTTCATCATGGGTATGAAGAATGTAGCTTTTAGGAAGACACGGAGCTGGCTAAGAGTCACATAAAAATTATTACTACAAAAAGAGTGGGGGAAATGCTTTTATTTATTTATCTTTCTCTTCTATTCATCACTGTATGGATTGAGTCTAGGGCATGAGACAGAAGGGAGGGGGCAGAAGGAAGAAACAGAAATAATTGCAAGCACAAGTGTTTATGTTGCCTTATGTCTTGGTATGTTACTGCTCTTCTGTGTTCTGAAAGGCTCTCAAGACTAATTGGTTTCATTGTCATTTTATTTATATATACATATATACACATTCATTTGGGGCTTAACTAGTAACCTGTAACTATGGGAATGGAGGCTGCCAGCACACCTGTGATGACACAGACACTGGCCCTGTGTGTGGCTGTCATCAGAAGTATGCCCTGCACTCAGATGGCCGAACCTGCATCGGTGAGTACTTCTCTGCAGCACGTTTGATTTGGGGGTGCTCAGGATCTGTTTGGTGTGTGGGTGTGTGTGTGTGTGCGTGTGGGGTGCCTGTGGGACAGAGGGGTGCTCCAGAAGGGTGTTCCAGCAGCTCCTGGCTCAGCCAGGCACACAGAGAGGCGTTTTGTGCGTGTTCTGTCAAAATGTTTGTTAATGAAGCATCCCCTTTGTTACCCGCTTGTGACTTTTGTTTCTGTTGGTAACTATTTTTAAAGTAAAAAGGTGTAGAGCGTTCATCATTTTGAATGAAAGTTCAGCTCTTCAGTTCACTTGCATCAGTCAAGACTTCCTTGCTTGAGCAAGGTTAGAAAAATTACCTCCTTTTCTGAGCTGTTACCAGGGAAAAGGAGTCATCATTATGATGACTTTCTTCCCTGGTGTATGTTTCGTGATTCTAAAAACTGCAGCACTTGTAGTGACTAAGCTTTCATTCAGAATATCAGTAGGAAAAAGGCAGTCAAGACATGGAGCATCTTGGCAGATGCTTTGCAAACATTTATGATTATAAAATGTATAATTTGCTTAACACCGTTTCTTTCCACTCCACTTTAAAAAATAAATTTAAAAGTGCATTTTTGCATAGTGCAACTTAACATTTGAAAATCGTTACTCACAAATCAGAATCTGAAATCCATATTGGTTTTCATTGGCATTGCAGACACGTTGACTTTTTTTTTGTTCGTATAATTTCAAGTTCTTGCAAATTCTTAGTCATTTCCTGAGGTTAAAAAAAAGACAGACACATATTTATCATATTTTCTGTCCTACACTACAAGACAGAGCATTTGAAACTCATGGAAATCTGTCTGTTACCTTTAGGCAGTCTGTCTTGGTCAGATCCATGGCATAAAGCTCCTTGGCTGCCCAGAGCCTTGCTCACTCCTGAGGGGTTTAATTGCATCAATTGTGGGGTAGGGCGAGGTCTATGCTGGCAGAGGTAAAACTGAGCAGGGCTCAGAGCTGGGCTCTGCCTTTTTGTCTGCACAGGGTGTGTCTGAATGCAGGGGACCTCTCAGTGAGTGCCTCTGGTAGCAGAGAGCTCCATCCTGCAATCCCTGTCCTGTGGCAGTTCCGGATGGGGAGAACTTGCAAGAGTGAGAGCCTTGAGAGCAGGTTTTATTGAATGGATAATTGGTCTTCTATTTATTATTGTTCACTAATATCCTTGGATGTTTTCTTTTGTCCAGAATGTAAAATATTTTAAAAGCTGTGTACATTGCATCTATTTTTTTTTTACTTTTTTTTTCACATTTTTGTAATGTAATACATACAACTCCATGTTACATTCCTTGGTCTTGTGATGTAAGTCACATATTACTGCCTCTGCTGATTTTCTTCCCTCTAAAATAGTTCTTTCTCTTAGATGACTTCTAATATTTTATTTATTTTTTACATTTATTTATTCCTGCTTTCTGGTGATGGTTCCTGATTGCCTGTCTTGTCTGATAACTGACGTTTATTAATTATTTACAGAGAAAAAAAAAAACAAACAAACTCAAACAAAAGCCTCTATTGCAGCCTGATCCCATCTAGAACTTGTTAAAAACAAAACAAAACAACTTCTTATTACCACTCAACCATGTAGAGTTGCCACAAACAAAACCTGCCAGCCTCCTCCTCCTCCTCACTTCAGTGATTCCAGTGTTTGCTGTCTTCAGTGGTGTATATATTCTAGGCATCACTGCAAGAATGCAAACTTCTGCAATGCCAGATAAATACTTGTTGACCCTTTGTCTAACATATTTTGTCTTTGTTTGCTTGTCTTAACCTTTTATTTTTTTTTTATGTTTGCTGCATGTGAAAGTCCCCACTTGCATTTTCGTTTTTTTTGTTTTCCTAATGAGCGTTTCCCTTTTCCTACAAATCATTTTATTTACCCAGCTGCTGCTCCTCCATTGCTCTCCTGTATCAGAAACCTTTAATTTTATTTCACCTACTGATCATCTCTTCCCACACTTGTGACTGTTTCTGTGTCTTTCTAATGAAGAATAACCAAAGTCCACATTATGCTGTATGAAACTCTTCCATGTAGGATGTCAGAGACTACCTTGTCAAGTGACCTCTGACAACATCATCCTGCTCACTGCATGCTAATAAAATTACTAAACCCTGTTCTTGCAACATCTTTCCTAGCGTTGAATGTTTAGCTAGTAGTGTTTCATAGACAAGCAGGCAACCAGCACTGCCCAAATTGATCTTTTTTTGTGTTTGTTTGGTTTGTTGTTTGTTTATTTTTGTTGTTGTTGTTGAATTTGCATGCTGTTGTTTCGTTTCTCAGTGTGTCAGTGTGTACAAGGCTGTGGTGTGTCCATGCCCATCCATCACCGGACTCTTCTTCCTCTCTCTGTCTGTCCCAGTCTTCTGCCTGCCACCTTCAGATCCTGGTGCCCCTGTTAGCCTAGGTTGTCTTTGCTCTAACTAGCCTTCCTGAATTTTAATTTTTGTCATTAACACCTCTCTGGGGCACCCACATTAGCTGTCGTGTTCTCCTGTAGAAATCCAGCTTCCTCTGTGTGCTTAATTACTTCTGAGCTGACCATTCTTCCTTCCCACCCTCTTTCTTCCTCCTTTCCCTAAACACCCTTTTAATTTTTTCCTGGGTTCTCAAAGGGAATTAACTCTCTAACGGGGATTTAGTGCTTTCATGCCTTGCTTCTTGGCTTTGGCTGTGCCATGCCAAGAAACTGTCTTAGGCAGCGGAAAATTGGGCTTGTGATTAACCAACTGCTCCATGTTTGTCCCTTACTTGTGTTTTAGAGAAGGATGAGGCTGCAATTGAGAGTTCTGAGTACAATGCCACGTCAGTAGCTGATGTGGACAAGCGGGTGAAACGGCGGCTACTTATGGGTAACACTTTTCTTCCACTTCCTTTGTTGTGCTCTCACTTTTGTCTGTGTGTATGTGGGGGGGAGGTTCTCTTTTTTGGTCTCATTTGGTTTTGGTCTCCTTTGGTTTTGGTTTGGCCTGGTTGTTTTTTTTTTTTTTTTATCTGACTTCATCTGTGTGGAAAGGTCACCAATTTTGTTAAGTTCTCATCTGTTGTACAACTTCATTCCTTGTTTTTAAACTTTTTTTTTCCTGATGCTGCAGCTTTAATGCTCAATTTTCTCTGCATAGAAAGAAGCTTTTGCCATTAACCTTACTTAGCTTATGCAAGCTACTTTTTACATGTGATTTGTGTGTTTGTGTGTATGTTTTGCTGTAGAATTCCTGAAAAATCTCCTGTTGCAGACCTGCCTATTGACTTAAAAGGGGATGATGATGACGATATAAACCAATGTTCTGTTACATCTGTGGTGTTAAATGAACAAGTGTATTTGCCTAATTAATTAATTTCCTGATCTTTTGATTGAAATGTAAATGTTATGACTGGAAATTTATTTATTTCCTTTGTGCAGCTATTTTAGTAACCACTGAAAGATCTTTCCCTAGTGACTGGTGAGCTTCTGTACATTCTTCTTTCTGAGGCATGGCTTGTTTCTCTGTGTTGTTGGAGCCTGAGAGTGGAACAGAGCGGGAGGTGCACTGAACAGTGAAGATAATTCTGTAGCTTCTGCTCTCAGTTAACCCATTGCACACCCTTGTGCTTGTCTCCTTCACTTTACATTTCTGGCTGTTAGCGAGAAGGGCCTTTTGGGAATAGAAAGGGTCAAGTGGCTGGGCCTCTGCCAGACTTTGCCTGAGACAAAGAGCACAGCGTAGCACGGACTGTTGAATGGTGCTTGGAGGTTTTCAGGTGGTTTATTTCTCTATATTTTCCACCCTGGTGCCCTACCCACCTCATAAAATTATTTCCGCTGGGTTTTGAACACAGCGGCCATTGGTGAGATGTACCCAATGGACCCACTCACAAGACAGGGATTCATCACCACAGAAGAGATTCTGGCAGGACAAAATTCTGCTGTCTTCCCTCAGGGTTGCTGTTTCTTTTCTTCAAACCACTGAGTCCTTTGCAGAATGTCCTGCTAGCCTTTGGAAAGCTCAGCTCTGCCTGTGAGCATCCCTGCCTATCTGGAGTGACCATCTCAAGGAGACCAGGGCTTCACTTTGGATATTTAGTTGATTGCTGTGCTAATAGTTGCAGTAGGTGGAAATATTTATAAAGTTTCCATGTCATTTGTATCTTGTCATCTGTGACAAATAATCCATTTACCCAGAGGCCAGCATACAACCACTGTGGAGGAAATGGCATAGTGTTATGACTCTGTAATGGTATTAGATAACAAGGCTGAGGTAAAATATTTTCCTTCATGTGAAAACCTGGGCATATGTTCCTTTATTTTTAGATTATCCATGACTGTTAATTTCAAATTTGTTTGCAGACCTAGCAAGTGACCCATATAGTTTTTCTTAAATGATACAGAATTTCAAATAATTTAACCTAACAAAAGCTATGAGACAGCTCATCATGCTTTATAAATGTGCTGTTAACACTTTTAGCTATAATCTCAACAAGACCCATAGTCTCACAAGAACTCAGGAAAATTTATGTGCCAAAAGGCCTCCAGACCACTGAAAAATGCAACCCTCTGGATCTCAGTGGTGTTTGTCCAGCCACAAATAGTATGTGCAGTACTCTCTAGAGGCACCAAGCAACATAGTGCACTGTGTTGATGCCTCACCCTCTGAAAAAAATAAGTATTCTACCTGAAAATGAGCTCACACTGCGTCCAAGAGTCCAGGCAAATAGCATTAAAAACTTTAGCATTAAAAAGATTAGTGACAGCCTTCTAAATTACACCAGGTCTGCAAGTTCCAAGCTGAACATAGACCCTAGAAATACGCTTAGAGAGATACTTTAAAATCCTGTTTGCAAAATACATTGTTGAACTCTTCTTTACCTGCTGTATTAGTAGGTATCAGCTAGCAGCTGAGAGTTTTTGGACATGCTGTTTTTAAACCACTGATTCCTTAGTAAAACATTAACTAGGAGGAAAATAAATGTAATTAGTGAGTGAGATCTGAGTGGGTGGTTTAATATTTAGGGACTTTTCTACTTGTTTGTTTCTGCGGATTGCTGATAGTCAGAATTTTTTTTTTAATGCAGTTTTACTTATTTCCAAAGTGTAGTGGCATTTCCATGAAATTCCACATCTTCAGATGTTTTCTAAACAGCGGTTTTAGGAAGTACTGGAAGGTTCCTCAGGAAACTTTTTTCCCAGTTTTTCTAAATAGGCTGTGATTCTTGACCCTCCTGCAGACAGTCTTGGGAGAGTAGGAAAAGTAGACGACTTTATGTAATTCTAGTAATCTGATGAAAGGTGCCTTCAGCTGCAAGTCCTGAGATGATAATTGCTAGTCCCCTGTCATTTGCTGCATGCTATCAAAACTACTATGATCTGTATAAGCCTTGAAGTCAGCCAAGACTCAGAATAAGCCTGATAAGATTGGTTTAGAACAGTCTTGCTCTCAGACAAGGCTGCCTATAGCAGTAATTTTGCTACACAAAGACCACCTCAGACTGGCTTTGTCTGAGACAGTAGATGCTGTAGTCCTGTGACTAGTGCTAAATCTTAAACAGAGAAAATTAGATAAATACACAATTTTCCTTCCTGTTAGATGCATTCTTATCTAGGTCTTGTGAAGCAGATGAGAAACTGGTCTTCTCTGATGACCTACAAGAAACTTCTCTTTAGACCTGTCCAAAGATGCCTAGGAATTTCCATCCAAATTTTTCATAATGTTTGGACAGACCTTGAGAACTTCCAGCTGTCACTTATTTCCCTGACTCAGAGAAAAGCACTGGGATTCAGATTCAAGAGTGCTCCCATTGCAGAGATGGCACTGAATTAAATTGCTGTTGTCTGGTCAGTGAGCATGAATACAGCTCATTTCCCTTTTCCTCACTTCCCCTTGGCCACTGCCATCATGGAGTGGAGGCAGTGCAGCCTTAGTTGTACTCCGGGGGGGCTCCTGGAGACGTCCTTCCTCAGCTCCATGGTGGCTGCTGTGGGCTGGACCTTGAGCCATGAGCATTCCATAGTTGAGGAAGGACAAGGATCCTGCAGAAGTGCACAGCTCCAAAAGCAGAGCTGTACCATCATCTCTAAGGCACATTTACATTCCCCTTGATGCAGAACACCTTGCACTTGCTACAAAGCAGAAGGGCACAACCAATCTTCAGCTTTTCTTAAACATCTGCTATCATTTATCTCGCAGTTAGTTGAGCACAGCGTTCAGCTCTTAAAATTATGTTCAGATCTCTGTTTTGTATGGTATAGCAGAATTTTTTCTGAAAGTATTTTTTGTGTTTCTTCTCCATCTTCCTTTACCTTCTTTTCCTTGGGAGCCCATTTGCCACTGTTTTTTCTACCATAGCATCATAGCATGAGTCTGCCCTATCTGGTTAGAGGAGTGGACTGGTGCTTTTCAAATATTTTTCAGTCTAAATCCAGAATGAGTGTGAATCACAGTATATCTGCCCTGCCTACCTGTATGAGAGCCATTCTAGTATGGGCACACAAATTTAGAAGCACCAAATTTCGAGTTAACCCTACTAATACACTTACCTTCACAATATTTTGTCCAGTGTCACATCTTCAGCAATAGAAGTTGCTTTTATTCATGTTTCCATATCTCTTTTTGCCATTATAGCCCTGGATAATTCAAAAGTCCAACAGCCCCATCACAGTCTAAATTGTAAAAATACATCATCCAGCAGCCTAGCACTTTATCATTAAATGAATTGTAAATAATTAAGTCTTATGGGCTTAACATTCTCCTTGGCCACTGTCTTTCACTCAAAAAGGCTGCAAGGTTTTTATAGAGCTGTTGATATCCTGGAGCTTTCTTTCAGAAACCTTCTTTTAGAACTTGATATTCTAGTCATAGAAATAGAATTAATAGCATCAGTTATGCCATCGGGCTCCCTCATTACAAATAAGTCAAGTGCTTACAAAGAGGTGATAAGCAGCTGGAAACTTCTTCATTGAGGAACCATAACCGTAGAACTGTCTGAAATTTAGACTCGAGGAGTCCTCCTCTCCTAGTCAGAGATAATGCTTTGTTCTTCGGCTGCTCTTTGCATCAACTCTTTGGACTAAATAATTTTATGAAGTACTTTTTAATATTGTCTTTAAAAATGCAGTCATTAGCTACACTGCCATCAACCCAAGCCTTATTAGACCGCATGAGTCTGAGCAGTGTTTTAGCAACACAACCATGATGTTTTGTGCAGGCTGTTTGTTAGATCCTCTCCTCTGGTCAGCTCTTCTTGAAGAGGCAAACCTGACTCATTTCTCACAGTTTCATTTTCCTTCTCTACTCTTTAGCAGTCAATGAATCGGGTTCATTTGGGCTTGACATGAGGTGACTTCAGAATAACTGCCAACACTATGCATCTTCCCCACCTTCAGTCCCTTTTCCATGCTTCACAGAATCACAGAACTCACAGAATGACCAGGTTGGAAGAGATCTTCAAGATCCCCGAGTCCAACCCATGCCCCAACACCTCAAGTAAAGCATGACACCCAGTGCCACATCCAGTCTTTTTTTAAACACATCCAGGGATGGTGACTCCACCACCTCCCCAGGCAGACAATTCCAGCACTTTATCACCCTTCTGTAAAAAACTTTTTCCTGTATCCAAACTCTATTTCCCTTGATGCATCTTGAGACTGTGTCCTCTGGTTCTGTCATTTGCTGCCTGGTGAAAGAGACCCACCCCACCTGACTACACCCACCTTTCAGGAGGTTGTAGAGAGGGATCTCTTCTCTGAGGTCACTGCTGTAAGAACTCACTTTGCCCATAAAACATTCTTGCTCTGGCCCTAGAAATGAAAAGTTGGTTCCTTCTCGTCAAAAGAAGAGGGGTGTACAAAGTACTTTTAAGTATAGCAAAGAGCAAC